GGGTGGGTGGGTGGGGAGGCAGCTCTGTGAGACCTCAGGAAGAGACTCTAAGAGGCTCGGGAAGAAAGTGCATATGAGGGTGGACACCTGGGACAAAGGCGGTTCCCGGCCCATCCCCATCTGCTCAGGCGCCTGAGACCCCTGGAGAGGAACTGCTCTCCCTAGGATCCTCTGGGTCAGGGCAGGGAAAGGAAGGAATTCAGAAGTCTTGGGCTTCTTTAGAGTTAGGATTTCTTAGAATAAACCTAGGGATTCCTGCAAATAATTCCCCTAAATGTTATGAGTCCTGGAAAAAAAAAAAAGTTCCCAGCATCCACACAGATCCTCACTCATCCTGGAAAGAGGAGAGCACTTAAGAAGTTGCCAAAAAGTGAAATCTGCAAGCTGCAGAAGTGTTATTACAACCACCCTTGGTCTCAGCTGGAATGAGGGTGCCCACCACACACCTCTCCCCTCTCAGCTGGCTGGTTCCAAGGATGGGTAATGTCCACCCACCCCAGGCATCCCGGGGGCTTAGCCCACCCCCGTTGGCAGTGTGTTGATTGGCAGTTAAGTACTGATGAGTTAGAATTTCCACCCCATCCAGGAGCTATCTGGTCGGTTGCCCATCCCCTACTCTGTGCCCGCTCTGCCTGGCCTGTCACCCTCTTCCCTGTACTATCTTCCCTCCTTCTTTTCTTTCCTCCCTTCCCAGGGCCCAGATTCTGGAATCTCTTCCTCCTTCTCCAACTCCAGCCCTGGAAGCAGTGGCTGCAGAGGTGGAATTAGATGCACCAAAAAAAAATTAATCTTGGTCCCCACAGAGCTGACCTAGCAGTTCCCAACTCTGTTATGGCTTTGTGGGCATCCCTGGCACCTGGCTCAGTGCCTGGCAGAGAGGAGATGCTCAATCAATGGATACTGAAGTGAATTAAACCGAGTCTTCCATAAGCTCTCGCTCTCTCCCCAAACGGGCCATCTGCTGGGCAGAGACAGAGAATGCTCCCTGGGGCTGTCACAGTCCTGTCCTCACCCGCTTCCCAGACTCCCTCAGCCCAGGCAGGGCCTGAGCTCTGAGCTCCCAGGAAAGGCCAGGAAGTGCAGCAGGGGGTCAGCTGGGGTCGGGGTGGGGCACTGCCGGCATCCCTGCCCTCCTGCTCCCATCCCTGCCTCTGTCACAGCCTGGAGGGGCTGGGTTCCCTGGAGGTGAGCAGGGCTGGAGGGGCCCACCTCCCTCTCCTCACTTCCCTCAACTCCCTGTCCACAGAGCCTGCCCCCCTACCTCCCTCTCAGCCCACCGGGAGAGCTATGGCTCTAGTGATTCAAACTGGAAACTGAGGAACCAGAGGAGACGCAGGACTCTCAGTTACTGTGAGTCTGAACCTCAGTTTCCCCACCTGTTAGTCTGAGCCACTCGGCTAGTCGATCTCTGAGGGTCTTCCAAGGCAGTTTCTCTCCATCTCCCTCCCACCCCTGAGGCTTAAGCAATTCCCTCTTCATGTGAGTAAAATGGCAGTGGAAGTGGGCCCCCCACCAGCGCTACTTTGTCCCCCACCAGGGAGCGTTGTCAGGGCTGGGGAGGGTGCAGCATGGCTCAGATGTGATGTGGCCACAGGGCCTCAGAGGCTCCAAGGCTCCCCTCAAGGCCAAAAGCCAGATGAAACCCTGCTGAGGGTAACGGGGGGGGGGGACTGAACCAAAGCCCCAAGGGCGGCCCCCTCTCTGCACACCGACCCCTCAGCGTGGCTCCCACCCCTTCCTCATGGCTGCTCCTGGCCCAGGCAGATGGCGGCCACCCTGGGGGAGAAGGCGGTCGGCCTTCCACCCCTCCCAGACCCTCCACCCCTCAGCTCATTTTGAAATTCGCCCCATTACTGGGCAACTGTGGTGAAGAGCGACCACCACCCTGAGAGACACGGCCCGCCATGGCGCAGCTCAGCAGCCCTTCGGTGCTTTTCTCCCAAACACCTGAAGGGGTTAAGCAGCCACCGGAAAACCGGAGGCTTCTGTGGTGGCAGCTCCCGGGGCCAAGGCTTGCCTCTAGCTGCCTCCAGCCCCAGCTTCCCGCCAACACCCAGGAAATACACGGTCGTCCCTTCAACACGCCCCACCCAAGTTACAGGAACCTACGGCCACGCCGAGCCTGACAGGGCTGCCCAGGGCTGGGAGCGGGGCGACGCCACAGCCCAGGCCTCCTAGAGGCCGCCCAGCAGAGCCGCCCGACCTGAGGTCCCCTCTGAAGCCGCCACCAGACCAGTCCAGGCACTGGGCAGGCTGGACAGCTGGCCTCCCCCTCCCCTTTCTCTCTGCGACCCTCACACAGGCCTCCCGCCTCCTCTCGGTGGGGGGGCGGCAGTTTTGAGTGCGCCACTCCCTCCCCCCTCCCAGGGCCCACACGTCCCAGACGCCGGCAGGTTTCTCGAATGAAAGAGAGGTGGGTCATTCTTGGTACAGGGTGCGGGATATGAAGGGAGGGGTTCAGGAGACCCCAGGACAGCCCTGGGATCCAGGCTGGAGGGAAACACACCAAGAGAGGGCAGGCGGGGGCACAGTGTGCGGGGCGGAGTGGGGGGGGGAGTACAGGACACGAGGGAGGGGCTGCGGGCTGGCCGCCCGCCCGCCCGTTACTTGGTGCCATCGTCCGCGTTGCCCTCTCCATCCGTCTTGCCCTCCTCCTCCGTCTTCAGGTCATCCGTGCTCAGTTTCTGCTCTTTTTTCCTCCTCACACACTTTACTACCATCAGCACCAAGATGACCACGGCCAGAAAGCCCCCGACGGAGGCACCCACGATCACTGCCACCGTGGAATCCCGCTCAGGGGGCTCTGGAGAAGGAGGGGAAACAGACCCGCTGAGCCCTGGGCTGGCAGAGGGGGCCTTGTCCCCAGGCCTCTGCTCCCCCCAGGACGCGAGCAGTGGCTCTGACTTTACTCTCCTCAGTGGAAGTCACTTAATCAAAGCCAAAAATCAACTCTTGACCTCTAAGACCCCCACCCCAAATCCCAGGCACCTAAAAGCCCCAGAAGGGCAGTATAATGCAGTTATCTAAGAGCCAGACACTGACATCAGATAGACCCAGTTTGAGTCCTGATTGTACAATTTATCAATTGCATGACCTTAGGTAACTTCCTTAGCCTCTCTAAGCCTCAATTTCCTCATCTGTAAAATGGGCATAATAGTACCTCCCTCATAGGGTTTTATGAGGATAAAATGAGATAATGCATATAGAGAACTTAGCTCTACCTATGACTGAGAGAAAGTGTCCAATAAATGGAAGCTGTTCTTAGGATTCTTAAGATTAAGATAATGATGGATAGTGTCATAAGGACTCTCTGAGACAGTCCCAGGTCCTTGAGGACCAGAGGAAATAAAATGGGTGCTTTCCACCCAGCATATCCCTCAGGAAGGCACAGCCTCTCCCAAGGAGCCCCAGCTAATCCTGCTTGAGAGGAGTTGGGTGGAAACAGGCAGGGGTCCCCCAGCAGCCCCTCACCTTCCATGAGGACCTTCAGATAGATCTTGCCGTGGCCGCGGTGGCGATCGGGCGGGTTCATGATGTAGCAGTTGTAGGTGCCCTCATCCTCCAGCTGCACGTTTCTCAGTGTGACTGACACGTCATACTTGCTGGGGTTCCCTGAGAACTCTACGCGGTCTCGGAAACGCTCCAGCTTCAGGTTAATGATCTTCATGCGGAACTGGAGAAACTGAGTGGGGTGAGGGACAGGATAGGGGTACTGGATGAGCGAGGAGCTGCAAGGACAGCAGGATGCCCCTCCTCCCATGCCCCCTTGTATGAGGAAGAGAGGCAGTTACCTCCAGATCTCTGCCACCCTCCCAGGGTCACCCAGGCGTGACAACACACCTTTTGCCAAGTCCCTCTGGAGCACAGCCCACCAGGGTTCCCCGGGGTCCTGGTCCAGCGCAGGGACAGGTGGTGGGAAAGGTGGGCTTCCTGCAGCAGGGCTCCCACCTCTTCCCCCACCCCCGCTTCCTCCCAGGACTCACCATCTCCTCAGAGCAGTTATTACACTCCTGGTAAGTCCAGTTCAGGGAGAACTGTTTGTGGTTCACTGTGTAGCAGGAGTTGAAGGTGCAGGGCAGGCGGGCATCAGAGCCATTGAGGACGTTGAGGATGGTAGGTACTGTGACTTCCATGCTCCACCCTGGTGGCACTGAGGACAAAGCCAAAGCTGGTGAGGATTCTGGCTGACAGGGCCAGGGAGGGGACAAGCCTTCTGCACCTGGTAGGGAGTGGAACAGAGCCATGGCAGCTGGCTGGGGCTCTTACGGCTGGAATTAGTCAGGGGTCAGGTGGGCAAAGCTCATGAGGGGTACCTGATGTGGCCCTTGGGGAAAATGGGGGCAGAGCGAAGCTAGGGTGGAGAGAGTCCAAATAATCTGTCAAGCCAGGGACTGATGGCCTCAAGTCTTTTCCAGGACCATAGTGGTGCAGGCCCTCCACCTGGCTGTCCCGCCCCCACCCTGTCATGGCCACCTGCTGGCTGAAGACCTTGGACAAGGGCCTGCACTGTGCTGGCCTCAGTTTCCCTTCTTCCCCACCACCTCCAGCCATCTCTGCTGAGCCAAAGCCCTTCCAGCTGAAGCTGCAGTGTCCCCAGGGCACTGGCAGCCTGGAGGACAGGTGGAGATTCAGAAGGCCTCGCTCTCTATACTCCAGGGCCAGAGTAAAGCCTGCGCCCAGCCCAGCCCCTTAACTACCCCAGGCTTCTGGCAGGGATGACAGGCGAGCAGCAGGAGAGAGGAGATGCCCCAGAAGAGTCAGCACAATTCGAAGGGACCAACTGATGGGTCTTCAAGGACAGGAGGCCCTTTTTTAGACGCCAGGCCTGGAAACACCACAGTGAGGAGCTGCTACAGGCTGCAGGGGCGGCAGGGTGGGAACAGCACGTTTCTGAGGAATCCCCTGGGGAGCACCCGGCCAGGAGCCCTGAGTGCTGGGGCTGAGAAAGGTCCATCCCACTCTGGCATCCTAAGCAGGGCAGAGTCTAGGGCGAGGAGAGTGAGCCAAAGCTCTTCCAGCCGAAGCTGCAGTGCCCCCCGCAACCCCCACGACGGGGCAGAAAGCCTTGGGCACAAAATTTAACGCCGTGCCCTCTCTCGGGGGCATGCAAATACCTCCTTAAATTTTGCACCCTAGGCACCTCCTTTCCTTCACTCTAGTCCATGTGTGAGTTCTAAGATTCTCAGCCAATACTGTCAAAACCTTATCCCAAAAGAATAATAGTCTTTACAGAGGATAAACAGTAATACTCGGCATCCATCATTCATTCACCCATTTACCAAATATTTCTAAATCACCTACTATGCCCCAGGCACTCAGTCTAGGCACGGGGGTGGGGATGGGGGGGCTACTGCTGTGATGGAGGCCAGCAGAGGTGCTGTAATGAGGAACTTATGTTCTAGGGAGGAGGACAGACATTAACAGGGATAAGGTAAGACTGTAGTGATACATGGCAAAATAAAGCCAGGTGCAGAGTGACATCAGGTGGTCCAGGCAGGCTGCTCCAAGGGGTGCCCTGCAGACAGCCCCCAACTAAAGTGACGGAGTGAGCTGGTTGAAATTTTGAAGGAATCAAGTTCCAAGTCAGTGGAACATCAAGAGTAAAGTTCCAGTGGCTGAAATGACCGTCACATGTCTGGGGTACAACCAGCAGAGTGACCCAGGGGGCAAGTGGAAGGGACCTGAGGTCCCAGAGTTAGGTAAGTATGAGGCCGCCATTCTTCTGAGGGAGGTAGGAAGCCGCTAGGGGATGGGCCTGGGGAGGGGAGAGGGGGGTGGAGCTAGAAGGCTGTCCAGGTGACAGCCAGGGCCCTACTGATACGGGACTAACACAGACATGGAGTTCTCAACAGATGTGGGTTCAATCCCAGCTCTGCCTTCAATTAGCTGGGAGAACGTGGGCAAATTCTTTCCCCTTCTGAGTCTCAGTCCTGTCCTTTGTAGAACACAGCTGATGACACTTACCTCTCAGGGTTATTATGACAATTAAATAAGAAAAAAATATATAAAACAATGGTAGCCTAAATTCCCCTCAAGATCTATGCCCTAAATAGGAAGGGCTTCTGGGGCAGTCTCCTGGCAGGGGCACCTAGGAGATGGACCCCTCAGGGCAGCTCCCTGGGATTCTCTGGGATCTGGCACAGGGCCAGGCCTAATGGCAGCAGTCTGGGAGGGGACTCTGATTTTGCAAATGATTTTGTTGCTCAAAGCTGCTGGGTCCCAAAGCGGCTGCACTCCAGCCTGGAAGCAGGACTATCCCCATCCCTTGGGACGAATGACCAGGGCCAGTAGGCAGGGCTTAAGAACAGGAGATGCTCTGAACTGCTGGCCCCAGAGGTGAGGACGCAGCCCCAGTAGAGGGATAGGCATGCGGCCCCATCAACAAGGCCGGGGCTTCCAGGTGTGCGCTGCAGTGTTCATCAGGGGAAAACGAACTGAGGAGGCCGAGTGGGCCCCCGAGAACAAAGCCCGGCTCCTATCTCCCCGCTTCCACAGCCATTATGAAAGCACCTAGTACAGCGCCAGCCTAGGAGGAGGTGCGCTGAAAATGCCATCTCCGCCCCTCCTACTCTGCAGAGGCGGAGGAATCTGCAGGGAAGGAGCCTGGCAGGGCCTTGTCCTGAGCTTACCTCCTATCCCAGGAACACCCTGCTTCTCTAGCACCGTCCCTGGGAAGGGTCGGCCTCCTTCCCAGGGCTCCTGAGTGAAAGGAGCCTCCTCTAAGTGGCATTAGGAAATAGGTCCCGTGAATCCGGCTGACCCATCCCTGCCTCTGGCCTGCCCCAGCTCGCAACATCGCTCCAATTAGACCTTGAACCCCATCAGGAAGCTCCCTCCATCTCGAAGGAGCTAGCCCTCTGCTGTGTGGGAGGCCACCCACGGGGAGCGAGGGGACTTCTCTGGCCAGCAGGAAGGGGGCAGACAGAGAGGTGCAATGCGGGTCCCTCCCCCGCATCCCTGCAGCCTGTCCCGCAGGAGGCACCAGGCGGACACGTGTGCCCTCTAGTGGTCAGAGGAGTCAACTGTCAAGTCCCAACAGCAGAGAGGAGGAGGGAGTCAGCAAATCAGAGGAAGCCAGAGGTGGAAAGCTTGTCGATCTAGCCCCACCGTCTTAACCGTGAGGAAGGTGAAGCCAGAGAGACACACAGCGGATGGGGACAAGCTGGTGCCAGGATCATGGTTCCTGACTCCTAGTCCAGGGTACCCCCTTCCGCCTGACGCCTCACCAGGATCTCAGGCTCAAGGCAAGGGTGTGAGGCCTTTCACCAATCCAGACCCTCATTAAAGATAAGAAAATCATCAAGCAACGAGGGCACAGCTGTGAGCAAAATCCTGGGCTCCTGGTGAACTCTGCTGCTTCAGGAAGGTAGCCGAATCCACAGCTAGGGCCACAGAAGGGCTTCACAGTAACAACAGAGTGCTTACTGCGTGCCAGGCGCTGTTTAAGGACCCCACAGATATGACCTCGTCTAATGCAATATCCCTGTTATCACCCCGACTCTCCAGATAAGGAAATGGAGCACGAAGAAATTAAATGAATAGCCCACGTTCACAGCTGGTTAAGTGACAAAAGCTAAACTTGAACCCAGGCTGCCAGGCTCCAGACAGACCGTTGAGGGGTCGAGGCTGGGTGAGGGTGTGATTTTTGCTCCAAGGCGTCCCAGGGACAAGGCCTCCTGCTGTCTACGTGGCAGGTCCAGCTGCATACCTGCCAGCCTCCCCGTCCACCCCAAACTCACTCCAGGCAGTCTGGCCAGAGGGCAATGGTCCTATTTAAAGGAACTTCTGCACTCAGGGACCCCACAGTCTTCCTGGTTTTCCCATTTGGGACCAGGTCTGGGGCCTGGGTCTCCTGATTTCCAACTCACAGAAAGGAAATGATCAACAGGGGTATAGTAAGGTTGTGGCTTTTGAGCTTCGTTCCAAAACATCACCAATACCCAGACCCACTCACCTTCTCCAAGGCATCTATCTGGGCACCTCTGGCCCATCTTGCAGAGACCACAATTTGCACATCTCCTGTCAAACCCTATTTCCTGCAGAGACTGGAATTTAATCCTCCTCATGCCTCTTTCCATCCCTACAGCAACCTATGAGGTAGGTTTGTTTTCTTCTTCATTAAAAAAAAGAGAAAGGGTATGTGGGTCTAAGCAGAGAAATTATCCCCCACCCTTCCAGAGCACTGTCTCCTGGGCAGCCCTTGACTCCTGGGTGCGTGTGACACGCAGCCTGTCTCCTGATCTCAGACCAGATTCGTCCCCGCCTCAGGGTCTCCTCTCCCAGGCCAGTCCGCCCCCACGGCCCCACCTCACCCCGAGCAGCCATGAGAACACCTGTCCTCATCACCCTCACCCCCAGCCTCCACTGGACCCATGTTGCTTTCAGGATCTAGTCCGGGCTCCCAGGCAAGGCTTCCGAGCCCTCTGCCATCTGGGCCCAGCCGACGTCCCAGCCTTATCTCCTGCCAGCTCCCAGCCCTCACGCTTCCACCATTCCAGCGACCCGAGAGTTCTTACTTTTCTGAAAACAACTCCATCTTGCCCTCCTCCGTGCCTTTGCACATGTTTCTGCTCTGGGTTGGGAAGTGCGTTCACCCTGCTGCACCTGGGCCCTCCTACTTACCCTGCAGATCCCAGCTAATAAGCCTCAGTGACGGCTTCCCCAGCGCCTGCGCCCTCTCCCCAGCCCAGCTTCTATCGCTTCCAGGCTGGGAGCAGACTAGCATCGTGGCCAAGTCTAACACCCTGGTCTGATCTTAGGCAAGATGGTTAACCTCCCAGCACCTCAGTTTCCTCACCTGAAAATGGGACACAACAGTAGGACCTACCTTCTAGGGCTCTGGTGGGGATTAAATGACTTACTAAAATGTAAAGTTCACAGCATGCCTGGGACATGGTCAGCCGTTAGCAAAGATAAGCTGCTATTATTACATTTTTAGCGGTAATTATATGATGCTGTGTTGTTGTAATTTGTTTACATGCCTAAGTCCTTCAAGAGACTCTAGGGAGCTATGCTTATTTATCTTGGTATCCCTGGACCCAAAACAGTATATGACACACAGAGGGCACTCAATGAAAGTCACAGAAGAAAGGACGGAAGGCACCTTCCCCTCTGTGTCTGTGTGCAGTGGGCTCGAGCGAGGACCACTTCCTAGGCCTCCCCTCACGTGACCCAGACTTTGGTAACCAGGCCAGTGACTGTGGAGAAAAACTCTAGGGAAGACCAATCGTTTGGACTGTTTCTAACTGAAAACTAGTCCACTTCTGTCGTGTGTTCAGCAGGTTGCCCAGCTGTCCCCTTTCCCTTTGTCAGCTCCATAGTCATCCTCCCAAACCCAGCCCCTGACACAGCCCCCTCCCTTGTCACTTGGGGCATCTCTCCATCTTGGGGACTGATGCCACTACGACCACCAAAGTTCCATTGTCCACCTGAGCCCCCAATCTTGGAGTACCAGGGCGTGCCTCATCACAGCAGCAGTCAAGTGCAAGGTTAAGGTCCCTACTCCTGCGTCCTCCCCCCACCCAGATTTGCCGAGGCTTTAGCCTCTTCCCACCGCCACCCCCGTGCCCTGACTTCTTCACTCCAGATTCCATCCTCCCCTGAGCCACACCCTGGTGCTGCTCCCTGAGCTCCCTTCCTTTCTTCATGAAGATAAGGCTCTCATAAGGCTGCCTCTTTCCCACTGGAAGCTCTCAAAGGAGGTCGCTTGTCCTCTGTCCCCAGCTGCCTACACACTGGTCATTCACCCAGCTCCCCTCCTTTTGCCTGTACGTGAGATTCTTTGATTAAATAATTAAAATTATTGTTAACATAGCAGCACCATTTCTCGAACATGGAGGGCAGTAGAGTTCAGTGGTTAGAATGAGCTGAAGTCAGATAAGCAGGGGTTCACATCTCAGCTCCCTTTAAACTAGTCCCGTGACCTTACTGGGCAAGTTACTTAACTGCTCTGTGCCTGTTTCCTCATCTGTAACATGAGGATAATAACGTATCTGCCTCATACGATTACCAATTACCATAAGGACCAAACAAGACACACAGCGCACAGGCCCATGAAAAGCGTTCATACAGATGACTAGTACTGAGCCCCAGTTATGTGCCAGACTCACAAAGAGCCCAGGCAGTAGCTGTTCTCCAGGTCACCCATGAAAGAACTGGAGCTCAGAGGGATGGAGCCAACTTGCCAATAGTGTGAAGTAAATGACAAAGGTGGCTTTAAACCCAGATTGATTCCAAGGCTCATGCTCTTTCTACTGCCTGAGCTTCCATAACATTCCTGCTCTGTCGTCACTATGTCTGATAACTCAGTAAAGCTAATAGGCTTTATCCTGCAGGCTGCCAGGGGCCCTGCGCTGTCTCTGTTTAGCACCCCTGCCCAATATCCAGCACAGCGTGCCAGAGAAAGAGGGAGAAAGGAAGTGAGACCGAGAGCCTTTGTGATGGGGAATATTTCCACTGACGACCCTTGGACTGGATCCTAATTGCTACGCCAGCAACGAGTAAGTTTAGGAACAAGAAAGAAACTACCTTTGTGCAGGATTGCAAATAACTCTCTAGCCCACCTCCCAACCAGGAAGTCCAGGAATGGCCAAGTATGAAATTAGCATTTGAATCACCTGACAGGCCATTTGCAAGGCAGGGCTGGACAGTTCTGAGACTTGGTCTGCAGGGCCACAGCCACACTCAGACCATGAGTTCTTTTTTTCCCTTCTTTTTTCTGATCCCTTCACCTGACCCCTCCTCCACTCCATCTGGCCCAAACCAGAGACTTTCTCCATCTTCAGCAATTCTCCTCCCAATCCAGAGATCAGTCCTCAAGGCTGCCTCCCCACTACTCCCACACACATTGCAACAAATCAGTGGTACAGGTTGCCAGGAAGCCAGACCCAGACTCAACTTTCTGCCCCCAACTCCCACATATACCCTTTTCTAATATCCTAAACCCACCAGATTCCAAAGATCAAGGTTCACAAAAGAAGCCCCTTAAGAGGGCATTAAGTCCCAGGACCCCACACTTTCAGCAGCTTTAAAAAAAAAAAAAAGAAAGAAAAAGAAAATCCACGAAGCGACTCTGCAGATTAACCTACACTCTGCCCCCACCCCCACATAGGTCCATTTCAGGGAAATCCAAAGAAAAATCACCCCTGTTGACAACTGACACCCCCAAGGAACACTCAGATCCCCTGACCCAACATTTCTGTGACCAGGTAGTCCCAGCGCTATGCAGTCCCCAGCAATGTCTCCCCCAGACCCCGGGAACCTCCCTTCCCAAGGACACGGAAGGGAAGCTCCAGCACTGTCTTCTTTCCTGCCCCCCCGGCCCCCATCCTCCTCCTGTTGCGGCTGCACTTCTGGACCCTCAGGAGCATGCAGGTGTGCGGTCTAACTTACCCAAAGAGAAAAAGAGACTGAGCCCCGTGAGACTGAAGGCAGGGCGAGGTAGCCAGGCATCTTTGTGCATTTTCAGAGACTGAGATGTTAGTCGGGTGGGATATGGGAGAGGGTGATTTGAGGGGCCGAGGGCTACAAGGGAGGAATGGTTAGATGCTAAAAAAAAAAAAAATGCACGGATGTACTTCAAAGACACATAAAACATTAAGGAGGCTTTATTTCCATCTCTCTAATATGGCCGGCTTGTATGTTGCTGCTAAAAAGAGAGAGGGAGTGTGAAAGGGAGAGAGAAAAAAGGGGATGGAGTAAATTTTGTGGTTGGTGGATTTCGAAAAGCAGGTGGGAGGGCATAAAAAAGTCTTTCCACAAAGAACGAAGTTCTTCGGAAATGTTTACCCTCTAAAGCAAGATCTAAACGGGTCCTGCCTTTCTTCCTCACTTGGGTGATTGTTGGGGTTTGAAGGTTGTTTGAGGAACCCATTTATTTCAAAGCTCCTGAAAGGGGTGAATTCTTTGTCATTTAAAAACACCCAAAAAAGGAGATGCTCGTGTTTGTGCTCTTTGGAGAGGGTTCGGGGAAGTGAGTCAGGAGACTTTCAGGCAGTAAGAACTTCCTCATTTTTGTAGCATTTCCACCAAAAAACAGAAGAGATCAAAGCAGGGTGGTGTAAAAACACCCAAGTGAACTTACAATCAAATTAATGTGAATCTTTGGGGAATCCTGATTCAATCAAACCAACAGTGAAAAGCCATTACAGCAATAATTGGAAAAAATAAATATGGACTGGGTGTTAGTTTATATTAATGAATAATTCTTAATTTTGTTGGGTGTGGTAAAAAAAACAATGTGGTTATATTCTTTAATATCTGTATCTATTAAACACACTGGAGTGTTTATAGGTGAAATGACAGGATGACAGGAATTTGCTTTAAAATATTCTAGGGGAAAAAAAAAGAGTGGGGTGGGGGTGACAAGGCCAGATACTGCTGTTGATTGTCAAAACTGGTGAAAGATGCCAAGGGTTCATTATTCAGTTCTCTCTTTTGCAGTGTCTGTTTGAAAATATTTCCTTTGAAAAAGGAAAGGAGGCTAATATCACAAGCAGGAGAACTTGGGGTAGAGTGCCAAGGTGGCCCCAAGCAGAGAAGGTGACCCCCGACTCTTCTTGGGGAGACATTTGAGCAGAACAAAGGCTCCTGTGCACAGTCACCTGCGCCTGCACCGGCGATGGGCGACTGATGCTCCGAAGAGGGAGCAGCTAACATCTTAGAGCACTGACTCTGTGCCAAGTCTTTACCAAGGATATCTCTACTTAGATGTAAGCCTGGAATAGCTGATTTTGTCTCTTTTTTTAAAATCGCAATGAGGAAAGAGAGGCTGATAGGGCCTAACTCACTCAAGTCACCTATGATAGTTAAGGGCAGAGTCGCAGCCAGGACCCAAACTGAGGTCTGTGGGAAACACCAGGCGTTTCCAGTAGTCCACATTGCCTATTACCAAGGGGAGGAGACACGAGACCTTCCTTCCCTGGGTCTGTCTAGAGACACAGGGAAGAGAAGACTGGAATAGACGAAGCGGGGGACCTCTGCATGCATGTGCGTGTGTGTGTAAAGAAGGTGGTAAGAGGCAGAACATGGAGAAACCAAATGGAAGGCCAGCACAGTGCTTGGCTCAGAGCAGACACTCAGTAAACAGGTGACGCACAGTTACACACAGGCACCCTGAATGCATGAGTGAATGAAAGAATTTGGAGAGGGATGTGACTTTGTCGACATCATCGTGAAGGTAGTGAAATCTAGGTAAGGCCGCTGAAGCTGTTCCAGGCTGGGAGGAGGGAAGTGGGCCGAATTTGGGTGGCAGGTGCTGATGGCAGAGGATGGAGAGGAGGCCTCTGTGGTTCCCCACACTGGCGAGGGTTGTCCGTACCTGCATCTCGCACAGACTCTGCCGCCAAAGTGCCTGTCACTCACTTCACCAGAGTTTGGCTGCTGGTGGCTCATTCACAGAGCTCACAGCCCGAAGGAAAGAAAATCAGAGGAGAGACGGGGCAGCCTAGGGAGAAAAGTGTCTTCCAGGGGCCACAGTCCTCAGGCCCAGGACTCCTCCACCATCAGCAGCGGCCTGGCTCACAGGTGTGCCCAGAGGGATGGACAGCACAAGCTGGGGCCTCAGCTCCTGCACCAGCCCCTGGGCCAGGACCCAGTCTGCCGCACAGCCACCCATGCTGCCGCAGGCACATGTCAGCCAGAGAGTTTTGGTTTGACGTAGCCGGCCTCCTCCTTTTTCTTCATGCAACTGAGGGTTCCTGTAAGACACAGGAAAGCTGCTTTCCAGGCTCACTTGGTCTCACACTGGGTCTAGAAGCTTCTATCTTGGGGACATCTGAGATAAGAAATGGATCCCAAAATGACACAAATGAACTTATTTACAAAACGGGAACAGACTTACAGACACAGAAAACAAACTTATGGTGACCAAAGAGGAAAGGAGAGGGGAAGGGTAATTTAGGAGTTTGGGATTAACAGATACAAACTACTACATATAAAATAGATAAACAACAAGGTCCCGCTGTTTAGCATTGGGAACTGTATTCAATAGCTTGTAATAAACGATAATGAAAAAAATGTTTATATCCCTATGTCTGTATCTGAATCACTATGATGTACACCAGAAACTAACACAACATTGTAAATCAACTGTACTTCCACTAAAAAAAAAGAAAGAAAAGAAATGGATCCAGAAGTTTCTGTGCCTCTATCCAGAATTTGGCCAACAGAAAACAGATACACAACTTAAATTAGGCTTTGTCCAATCCAGCCCTCCAGGACCGAAGGGCAGAAGGCGCCAGATCACGAGAGGGTTTTCCTGGCAGGATGCGTAAGGGGGAGAGCTACCCCAGAACCTCCCCACAGCTCACTTGGGCCCCCAGATTCCCATTTGCTCGAAAACAGTATGCTTTCCCCAGGAGCCAATAAAAGCCTGGGAGGCAGAAACTCATAGAGGTATTTTACAGAACAAAGACACCAGTATCAGAGATGGGCTATTTGTGGAATGAAGCCCTATTTTTGGCATTTCTACCCAGTGCCATTTATCCCTGAAGATTTTATCAGACAACACTCAATTACCTCCCCTGCTGGACAAGAGTGTTACAAATAATCCAAAAGAAGGTAGTTTCCTTTTGCCTTTGGAATTCTTAGTTGAGGCTAGGAGAGCCTCCCTAGTTACCGTTGCCGTACAGGACCAGCAGCAGCAGCATCACCTGGGAGCTCCTTAGAAACACAGTCACAGGCCCCACCTCAGACCCTAAGAATCAGAATCTGCATCTCTAATAAGACCTTTAGGTGTTTCTTGAGCACATTAAAGCTTAAGAAGTAACGCTTTCCACTAATATTAAAAGGTTTGCATCCCAGGAGCCAAGGGGCAATGAGAGGCCAGGTTTGGGGGGCTGGGGAAAAGGGACTGGTGAGCAGGAACAAGCTTAGGGTCACCCTGCAGCCTGCTCAGGAATAACCATTTCACTCGCCTCGCTTCCCCACCCAGGCCCTTCCCAAGCCATTTCACACCAGGTGAGGTTTCTCTTACCCTCACAGGGCTTCACGCGGTGGTGTCTCTGCCTTTGCAGCTTCCTCCTCTAGCAATGTCCTTCCTCTCCTCTCTGCTCAGCAAGCTCCTAGTCTTTCTTAAAAAATCTGGGACAAAGTAACCCTCTCCTTATCGTCTGCCTGCGTACCTCTTGTCTCTGTGCTCCTGTGACCCTGGCTACATTCACTCATTTTGTTTATCAAGTCCCTCATTCCACAGAAATATCTATTTAATGTCCCCACATGATAGACACTAGGCTAGAAACCATAGACCCAGAAATGAATGTGGTACAGCTCATCTTCTGAGAGCTTACGTTCTCAACAGGGAGGCAAATGTATCAATTGCCACCTACAGGTACACTGGGATTGCTTGGGTCTCCTTATTAACAGGAGTTGGAGAGTATTGTCATTTTTTGTTTATACATCTTACCTCCTCAACTAGAGCTCTTTAAAGACATGAGTTGTGTCTTATTCTTCTGAGTTTGTGCCCTGAGCATATGAGAATGAATGAATGAATGTCTATTTTACATCTGGGGAAAGGGCAGAAACTCCATCAGCCTGACTTTATGTGGTAGAATGGGGACTAGGAGCCAGGTCCAGCCACTCCCTGGGAATTCCATTCAACAAGGCATTATCCCACATGGGTTCAGATGCTGAAAAGCTCACAGAAAAGACCTAAAGCATGATTTCTAAGAGTTTAAGATCTTTCAGAGAATAAATAAAGCTGCACACTCATGAAACAATTAGAGAACATCAGAAGATAAAATCTGGAAAGTGCAGAGACATCTAGGAAGATGTGAGAAATAGGAGATCGCCCAGGTGGAACTCATGCAGGGCCTTGAAGGAAAGTTGATTTGGGCAGGCAAGGAGGGAAAGAGAATTCCAGGCAGGGGACACCAAGAGCAAAGGCTCAGAAGCACACGAGACAAAGGTATATGGACAGAGGGTATATGGTTCAGAGAGCATGAAAAAAAACACAAGGGAGTTATGGATGGGTAGGCAAGATGGCACCCAATCTCAAAAGGTCATGAACATACAATGTGAAGTTCAGGCAAGGGCTTTGAAAGTTATGGGACAGCTACATCACTCTTGCTCTCCCCATCTATGAAATCAAAAAGGTCTAGCTTTCTGAGAAAACTCCAAGTTCCCTTAATTTTTGATAAAGAAGGAATATTTTGATTGTTGGGTTTTACAGAAGTGGTAATGGATTGCCTGATCTCTCTTGAGGAAGACCAAACCACATTTGCAAACCAGACAGAACAGAATGACAGGCCAAGACAGAAGGTCAGGAATCCTGAGAAATGTTATTCTTAGTAAGAAGATAACTGGTCTGTGTTGGGGTAAAATTTGCAACCTAAGGTTCTTTGGGTCTAAGCAACTGAGCCAAATCAGTGGCAGCATGACCTCTTCCAAACAGACACACAGGGGGAGAGAGAGAGAGAGATAGCGCATGAGAGCGAGCTAGTGTTTCATAAAAGAAAATTGCCAATATAGACATGTAAGTATACTAATTAGACAAAAGGAGTAAGAATGGGTTGGCAATGAGGAACAAAAGATGAAAGGGCTGGCAGAAGGCTGCAGCCTTTTAAAGGAGAAGCATCTTCTACAAGTCCTTGGTGGACAGGCTGAACTGTTTCTAGTTCCAATAGCCATACTCTGATGGTGCTAGATTCTCCATCATTCCTGGGTGGCCCTACCCCCTCCACCCTTAGACAGATTTCTGTTGGCAAAAGCCTGCTTGCTTCTGGAAGCATTTGAATATAAGAGCATCTGATGCTCTAGAAACTTTAACTACTGCAAATTCAAGTAACAAAACTGCTTGGATCTCCAAGGAGACCCAGCTTGCTCCATCCCCAGCAGATTTCTTGCCTGCCAGAATGTCACTCCTCAGAGCTATGCAAAGCCCTTCCTAAGGCTCAGCTTCCTAGCTCTTTCTTTGGATGGGAAGGGGGACTTAGGTATTTATGGTTACAGGGCTTCCTGCCCACAAAAATTAAAATTAATGAGAGATGGGGACTGAATCACCAGAAGACAAATCCACTGGGGAAAGCACATTGGAAGAGGATGGAGGGCTCAGACCAAGCTCTAGCCCCTAACCGACCTCATTTGTCCTCACAGTCCTGTGAGTCTCCATTTTACATATAGGGAAACAGCCTCAAAGAATTGACATAAACTTTGCAATATTGAAGAGAGAGTAAGAGGCAGAGCCAAGATTTCAACTAGGCCTGTTTGACCTTGAAGCCATTCCTGAGGCCATATGCCTTCGTGGTCCTGGATTTAGCAGACAACCACCCTTAAGAGAAGGGCAGGAGGGAGCACGCAGGTCTTTTCCATGGTCCCCTGCAGGGCTATTTTGGTCTGGGGCAAAATTAATATTTGACAGCTGTGGTCTTCCATGCTTAGTCTTGACTCCATGCTTGTGTGTAAGAGGAAGGTTTGGGAGGAGGTAGGGCTGGGGGAGAGAGATGGGCTTCCTCTTCCTCCTCCTCAGTGACAACTGCTGAATGCAGAATGGAAGCCAAACATTCAATGAATCAAATTTGACATGGGCAAGTCGAACCCTGGTGGGGCAGGCCCACACTTCCTGGATCAAAGAGCCTCTGCAGGATCCTGTGGAAAAACCACTCAGCCCATCTTCCAGCTTTCATCTCAATTATTCCCCTGCACCCAGAATGACAGATGTACAACCATCACCCATCCATCTCACTCGGTATCCTGAAGGTCATCATCCTAAGAAGACAAGATTTGAGGAAGTGGAAAAGGGCCCCTCAGCCCAAAACAGCATGTTGCCTAATAGCCCAGACATGAAACCACTTCCTCCCATGAACTCTTGGGACATGAAAGAGTTCCCCTCCCCTTTCTGTTTATCATGTCAACAAGTGCCCCCTCCTCGGTATGTCTTGGACAGGATATTACCTTCAAGCCACGTACTGTAAATTATTGACATATGCCTTATTTAGAGCTACAGGTGAGAAGGAAACATTTAATGACTCAGCCAGGGCTGAACAAGAACCAAGAAAGGCTACAGGCCTCCAAGTGGAGGCCAGAGAACAGCCGGTGAAAGAGAAAGTTACTAATGAGTGTGTCATGAGAGGGGCCTCGTTGTTTGGAGAGTGAGAGGAACCTCTCAAAAATGTAGCTCCACCTGAGATTGGATCAGAAATCAGAGACCCACAAAAGACCTCCCCTTTATCCATGTCCTGCATGGCTAAGAGGGAAGAATGGAAGGCAGAGAATGAGGAGCGCCTGGGGGCGTCAAGAAGCGGAGATCTGAGCCGAGCCCAGACTAGAACTAGGAGTTCAGAACCAAAAGATTTTTAAGACTAACCTTATTCAATCTTACAACAGTAACCAAGAAGTTTAGGAACCTCACATTTCAGACCAAGAGCTAAATCAGTGGCTGACCACTTTGACAACTCATGAGTGTCACTTTTGAAAAAGCCAAGCACAAGCTCCACCTAGGAATTCCAAACCAGGACATCTCTGGTGAGTCCCAGCAAAGATTCGCCAGCCACTCTGACCCCCAGCCAGAATCAGGAAGCGCCGGCCTAAGTTGTGGAGCTGTATTCATACCCCACTTCCAATCCGTCCACTGCCCCCTGCAAAAAAAAAATTTCCCAGGCCCCACACCAGTCCCCAGTGTGTGAGTCTCAGTAGGGCTTCCCTCCGGCCACTTCAGCGGTTTCAGGAGTTCCCGACTATAGATTCCTCACCAAGACTCCACATGCCCCTCAGCCAGGGTAGAAAAACAGGATGATTTCCATAAACATTTATTTAGGGATAATTTGCCAAAGGAATCATTTGGGTTGGTTTTCTTCTCTGTGATTCTTCCCTGTAACCATCCACAAAGAGCACCATCTAAGCAGAGCGTCTGACCCCATGGAGCGCTTGAGGCCACCGCAGCCACTCAGCCAGGGTCCCCGGGGCCAGTGTCCCACTCCAGAGGGACCAAGTCCATGCTCCCCCTAATCAGAGCCTGTTCCTTCTGCCGGACTTCGAACCCTCCATCTTCAGCTCTTCACCCAAGCAATGAGGCAGAAGGACAACTCGGGGACAGGGGTCTGAAGTAACTCAGACAGCGATTCAGGACACGCAGGAAAGAGAGTCTCTGCCACGGCCAAGGACGAAGGGAACTCCCCTTCCTTCTCAAAAGGCTTGCTCTGATTTTGGCATTCCCCCCACAGACTTGTTGTCAAGTGGACCACTTGGGGGTGCTGACCTCAGAGAAGGCCGAACTGGGTGCTGCAGGGGAAAGAAACAGCGCATTTGTAAGAAGCGTTTCAGTCATAATAGTTACCATTCATGGAGCTCCTGCCATCTGTCTGGCCCGATCCTGAATTTCACGTGCACTGTCTCATTTGACCCTCACCACCCGGGGGGTAGATTTTATTATTCCCATAAAGGATGAGGCAACTGAGGCTCAGAGAGGCTAA